GATACAAATTATTCCAAGCATGTGTCTCTCACCGAGTGCTTCCCCATCTGGTATCTGAGTTGGTACCACCTGATAACTTCCTTCTTGGGATCACTGTAAAGACTACACGTGACAATACATCTGAGAGCACTTTGTAACATGAAAATTACTTAACAAATGGCAAGTATTATTGCCAGCATTTCAGAAAATATGAGATCAAATCTGATTTATTTTAACTGTCTAGTAGTAAGAAAAAAATCACAGTCTCATTGATCCAGTTGTTTAGGAAAAAAAAAGGCAAAGCCTTTGATGTACTTCCAAATAAAACATCATAAAAGATAGTGTTTTCTGACCAAAAAATATAAAATTGTTAGCTAGGCCATAAGGTATCGATTTGCTACTTTATATATTTGTAGTTAATGCTTTTCAAATTACTTTTATCTGATTACAAAGGAAGATTTGCCCATTGTAAAAATTTTGAAAAATATGGAAATGACTGAGGAGAATAATCTCACCTCCCAGAGATAACCACTTATTAACAGCTCAACATTTTTCTTTCCAGTTCTTTTTCAACATATGAATAAGAACTGAGAATATACTGCATATAGAGTTTTATGCTCTGTTTTTTCACATAGTTATTATAAGCATTTTTTCTTTATTAAAATATCTTTTGTTGGACTTCAGCTTTTTAATGGCTGAATTATATTCCATGATAGGAATGTATATAAATTTTCTTGTTTCCTTCTTGTTGGCCTTATTTCCACTTAGCCCATTATTATAAAGAAAGCTTTAAGCAACACTTTTTGCATAAATATTTGACATTATTCCAGAGTATTTCATTAGAATAGATTTCTAAAAAAATGCTTTTGCTGAATAAGAGGCTATGAACCTTGTAAGACTTTTCATATATTTTGATTAGAACATTGCAAGCAAGACATTGAATCATATAAAATCACTTAGAAACACAGATGCAGACTAATTGGCTCCTCCTAGCTTCATTTTTGTATGTTTTTGTTCCAAATCCTTTTTCTAATGTTTTGAGAAAAAAAAATCTGTTCTCTTTTGGGGAATATGTAAGACGATTTTTGGATAGCAGCATAATAATCGTTTACAGGTTGTTCAGTTGGGATAGCTATTAATGTCTTATGTAAAATAAACCAAAGATCCAAAGAAACACATTTTTTTTTCAGGTGAAAATTGTGTTAGCCAACATCATTTCTCACTCTGGTCTATGATGTCAGGTATCCAATTTCTCCATTATTAATGCACTTACGCACGTGGGGGTAGATCCTCTTGGAAGGAGATTAAAAAGACACTCCCCCCTAAAGTCCCCCTTCCTAATAATGCGAGAATGACCAGAAGCTGTGAGGGGTTGGTACAGTAGCTTGCCACACAGACAATACCCTGCAGAGGATTAGTTTTCTTTCCATTAACAAGATCCACCGCAGAGTCAGGGGTCATTGGTACTCAGAAGAGAAAATCCGACTTAAGTGAGGTATGCGATTTGTCTATTCAGCACTGCAGACCCATAAAGCCTCTGAAGCCGCTCTTTGGTGACTTAGTACATTTCTCATTTTCCCATCGCTTTCAAACCCCTACTTGGCTATTTCCCTAAAACCATAATTCAAACTTTCCAAAAGAAAAAATAATCTCTGAGTAATCCTTTCAAGAATTCTTAGAAGGAAATCTTTATTCTTTTATCATTTTTATGGGAAACCTAACTCACGGTTACTCTTAGGATGCAAAATGTTTTCACCACTCATGTGTATCTAGCTAAGGTGAGGGTGAGGGAATATGTAAACAAAAATTGTTTAGTTTAAGGAGCTTGCACTGTACAACCAGGGACAGCCCAGCATTTCATACCCTAAGACTGAAACCATGAGAAAGTGGCTTTTAATTGTAAAACAGTTAGGTAGTGAGATCTTTGCATTACTTATCAGTAAATGTAGGCTGCTATGTCATTATTAGTGCAGACAAGGAAAGCTTTAAGGTAGAACATTTAAGAAAGGAAACAGGAGGATGGCTAAAGGAGGAAGAGTTGATTGTCATCTGAATATTTTAAAAATCCACATGACGGTTACATTCTCATAAATGGGGAGGACGAGGCTTGAGGAAGGGCTTGCCCAGGTGCCACCCATGTCTGCTCTGGGAACAGGGGGAGGAAGCAGCCCCACGGCCATGCCCCTGAATGGAAGGGCAGTACCCTTTGTGCCCAGACAAGGCTTCCTTATCACCTGGAGCATTCTTTTTCAGGAGCAGGGCTCCAAACGGAGGAGACAAGTCCATTTTTTGACCCCTCTTCTAGCTTTTATGAATTACATGCCTGAGACACAATTTCCACTTCTCCTCCAGCAGCTGGAGCATGTCAGTTTAGAACAAGGGTCAAACAAGTGCCTCCATTTCCACCTTTGTAGGTCTCTGCTGTCGCGACCGGGGAGCTTGACATTCCAAGCGATGCAGTGTTTGCCACACTGGCAGCAGTAACAGAGCAGTGTGCAGCCAGCTAGGGGAGCGAAATTTGCAAACTCAGGATCCTGGGCCTCAGGCCAAAGCAGGCTGGGTACGTTGCTGTGGTGACACATTTAGTCTCTCGGGAGGGATCCTGGCACACCAGCTGCATTCCTGGCACCACGTTTGCCAGCAAGAAACTTACGGAGTGGAAATGGTATCAACTCCAGAGGGAAATGCAAGCTGCTTTCTTAACTTCTTTGGCAACACTACCCTTTGCAACTCGTGCGAATACACCCTCTTGGATATTTACACGAACTGCTATTTGTGATACTCTTTGGGGCCCTGTTGGATGGTACTTTGAAAGGAAGTGCTAAAATGAGAGCAGCATTCCAGTTTATAAATGTAACTATTGTATCCCCGAATAATTCAATTTCCTAAAATTGGCATTTAATGATGCACTGACTTATCTCTTGCTGAGAAGAGATTGTAGTCCCTTTCTCCCTTTTAAAAATAGCTTTTACTGTTGCCAAGAGGAGAGCCTAGTATTTACTATTAGAAGATGCATGAATTAAAGTCCTAGCTTCTTTCCCTGTCGAAATTCACTAGCATTATATTAGCTAAATTCTCTCATACCTGGGAGAAAGGCTTCCTCACAGGAAGGCCCTTAGTTCTTCAGAAAACCTGACCCACCTCTGTTATTTGTGACCGGAAGGCAAAATGCACTAGGATTTGGCCACTTAGTATTCAGACCATGTCAGGATTTGAGTAAAAAGCCTATACTGCAGAGCTGGATGCACAGTCGCCAGGACAAACACAGTCAACAGTTCAAATCACAGTTAAATTATAAGCAAGCATGGGCTAACCATGCAGACCTGTCTAGTCAATGAAGCGAGTAGAGATAAAAGGAATTACTACACAAATGCCAACCTGCGAGGCTTTAATGAATACAGAGATGGCGTTCTTTCCAGCTGCCCCCAGTTGACTGTACAAGGCTGGTTAGGATTTTGAACATAATGATTTCTTCATCCTCCTTGTCTGCCACTTTTATTTCTCCCCACCATCTTCTTTTAACATGCAAAACATCTTCCAAAGTATTGAGAATAGAACGATTCCTCTATTTCCATAGTTTTGCAAAGGGGCAGCGATACTAGCAGACCAGTGAGTGCTACTGAAAACATCGCATGCAGCAGAGGAAATGCAGTTAATACAATAATTCACATATGTTAATGTTTAGTTCCATCAATGTCAGCTCTATTTTGTTCTTGGTATACACAAAGCTGGTACACAACTTTAACTGTTGAGGTAATGTCATTTTCAATTTAGAGAGCCTTAAGCTGTTCACTTTAACTAGTGATATCATCTTTGCAGTTGTCTCCTGAGACTTTATGTAAACATAAGTAATGTGTCCTGGACAGTTTGAAAAAGGATTGTGAAAGATGACATTGGTCATCATGAGGATGTTCCCCACTTTGATCTCTTTTAAATTGCCAGATGCAGTTTATGTTACTGCCATATTTTAGCCATCCCTGAAATTAATACATCCCAGGACTTTTGGACCAAGTTAAACACAGAAATGAAATAAAGATTTGAAATGAAAGGGTTGTAATGTTTTCATGTCAGTATATAATACTAAACAACAAAAATCTTCCTATTTTCCTGGGGGATGCTAGTTTATTGGAGATGGTTTTCCACCTTTTAGAGATAAAGAAGGTCCAAGTATGTCTGTTATCTCAGTGAAATCTTTAGAGTAATATTTTATTATCACTTCCTTTATCATTTGTCTCCTTAGTGTATTATTAAGCCTGAAATTTTTAAAGCACATCACTTTGATCATTTCAAATATGTCATGTTTCCTTTTAAAATAACAATATTCCTTTAGAGGTTGAGGCTGGTGGGTATAAAAAAAGTTACTTTCTATTTTTAAATAAACTTTTTTCTTTGAAGAAATTACATTCTGCAATTCAAGTGAAGTTTGAGGGGAAGATGATCTGTGTTTTAACCACTGTGGATACCGAAAGAGTTTTTTCTAAGAAGACCGGAGTTTGGTGGAATTGGGTTAAGTAGTAAAGAATCTGTTTATTATTCTGTGGCCATATGTTTAGAGGGTCGCTCACAGAAATCAAAGTATTGTTCGTGGAGAGCTCCAGCCAAGGAGACATTTTGAATTCATAAAAGAACTTCACAGTTTAAAAAGAATGCATAGCATTATGTATTGACACCCTACCACCATAGACAAAGAAACACAATTTAATAATACAGAATTGTGCTCATGAGATTTCTCTTTTTCTTGTTAATTGGTTACTTTAACTGACATTGTCTGCAAGTATAATGGACACCATTATTCTTAATAGTTCTCTGTTGCCAGATGATGTATACAGACATGATGTAGTCCATTTTAATTATTTCATTTTGCTAGATCTTTTCTCTTCCTTGTAATACAGTGATGAATGCAGATAGCACTTTTTTTCTATTCCTGACAGACTATTGCAGACAATACTAGTTTCTAAATTATTGAAATTAAAAGGGCATTTTTTGCTAACCTAATGTTTCCTTCCACATTTCTGTATTAGGTATGACTACGTGGAAGTCATTGATGGAGAAAATGAAAATGGACGTTTATGGGGAAAGTTCTGTGGAAAGATTGCCCCTTCTCCTGTAGTATCTTCAGGACCATTTCTTTTTATCAAATTTGTCTCTGACTATGAGACACATGGTGCAGGATTTTCAATACGTTATGAAATTTTCAAGAGAGGTGAGTAACTTAGAGTAGAACAAATATGAGTAAATGTTTATTAACATTGTTCGATTCTATGAAAAACAAAGTGAAAAGAAAGACAAGAAGTAATGTTTTATCCTTTTGTAAAACAACACATTCTCATTACAAAAAAAATATTAGAAAATACTTTAAACAGAGGAAAATTATCAAATATATGGAATATGTTTAAAATTTTTAAAGTATTTCAGAAATCAAAATTGCATCATTCTAATGTATTAACCGGTGTTTATAAGGTTTATAGTCCATAAAACTCATTTAAGAGCATTTGTTCTTCTTCACAAGTAAGTTTTATCTATTGTTAAAGTTTGATTTCTTTTTGTTGTCCTTGAAACTAAAAGGGTCTCTGTTACCTTAAAGCCATGTGCATCCTGTTCCCTTTAGTTTCTTGCAAAATTCAAGAGTGGTAGTTCCCAGGAAAAGCGAAGCAGTGAGCTAACCTTACAGAGTTTCTAAAGCTACTGGAGGAAGAAGAGGCTTTCTGTTAATGGAAGAGTGGTTGGGGAAAGAACCTCTTGGAGGAAACAAAACAGTAACACTTTAAATAGCATTTTCCTTAGGAGTAAATTTTAGTCATCCATCCAATATAATCACTTACTAATCTTTCATTACAGTGGTATAATTGAGATGAGATGGGATCGGACAATTCAGTCTCCCAGCCTTGAGGAATCAAAGGCACATGTCAGTCAATTGATAAACACTATTTTATCTACATATCACTGTTTTTCCAACAACCTGTAGATTCTTTTTATGTGTTAAATCCAGCCTCCCCTTATTTTATTTATTTCATTATTTGATTATTCTTTTAACATTAATATGTGGGGCACCCATCTAGGGACAGAGGCTCAAGATTTGAATGTATTGGCCTAGAATATAGGAGAAAGAGCTTTTTTTTTTAATAGAAAAAAATTTAACCATACCAATGACAAATGCCTAAGGTATTCTGGGTCAATGGCAATTAAGAATAACAAAAAGGAGTCATTAGGAATTTCTGGGAACATTGATATAACTTCTTAAAATGTCAAAGAAATCTGGCACTGCCCCATATAAATATGGATAGATGAAGAGAGCTTCCTTCAGAAATTTATCTAAGCACATAGTTGAAACCCTTTAGTATAAATAATGGTATACATATGACATCAGTATGTATAAATGATTACATATGTACATATATTCTTGTGTCGAAAGCTGTTTGACTTGTTACATAAATCACGGTGTATGTGTATGTATATGTACACACTCATATCTACATTTGTTCTACCTGCACATGGCATGATCAAAGAAAAAAGGTGTCAGCAAAGGGATTAAACACAGCCTTTAATTGTCAGTGTTTCTCAAAGAGCTGAAGATGTTTGAAAGAGAAAAGAGAGAGCTCAGTCAGTAAGTCATTAAAAATTCTTCATCTTCCTAAAGGACTCAGTTCCCTACCCCCATTAGTCTCAGATATACCATAATTTCCCTGTCCTGCTCTCCAACACTGTCCTTGAGGCTTGAAGGCTTATTTTGTTCACTCTTCTAGCATCCATTCATCCCATATGTCTTCTAGTTCTTTAGAATTTTTATCCACAGGTGTAGGTCACTTTTCCTTTCCTCATCCACTGCCATAAACAAACAGGCCTGATCTGTGGTTCTCCCCACACTCTTTTATCTTCCAGACGGCTTCAGGCTTATCCTCAGTCATCAGGCCTCGGTCCTATGGCAGGTCTCCATCATCCATGGTCAAGCCTCAGTGTCCTGTTGGGTCAAGCTCAAGGCTTGACATCAACTGCATCAAACTTCCTTTAGCTTCAGTTTTCCCAGATTTACAAGCTGGCTTTCTGCCTTGGGATAGCACTCTGGGTAAAGACCAGCAGACTTGGATGTGAATTTTAATTCTGTCACTGACTCTCTGTGTGAATGTCCAGAGTCTTCGATTCTTCACCTAAAAAATGGATAATAGTATCTAGTACAGGCTTGTTGTAAAGATCAGTTGAAATGAAAACATGGAAAATGCGTAGCCTGTGCCTGTCACTGTAAGTGTTCGATAAGCACTTGCTGTTACAATGATTATGAATAAAGCTGGTGCCTTCAGATTTCATAGCCGTTGCTCTCTTCCAGTTTATATCCCTTAACCTGTTAGACATCTAGTTCTAAACAATCTTTTCTCAGGAAAACTTTCCTAATGAATCTACTATTTTTTCCTATACATATACCCAACTTGTCCCCTATACACACATACACACACATACATATACTGTATACATACAAACACAAATATATTTCACTTACCAGTATGTTTCTCCCTAATGTTTTCAAATTTCTTCATGTGTGCTTATTTCATTTCCCAACTAGATTGGTACCAACTGAAAAATGCAAAGAAAATATCTACCCTCCCTCACTGCATATAATATAATCTTTATAGCTACTCCATAAAAAGTCACTAACATAATACATTTATGCATACCTATGCAGGTTCATGGACATTCTCTCCTCGAAAGCCATTTAATGATATAATAAAATCCATGAATCTCTGTTCCTTTGAAACATAGCACTTCTTCTTGGGTGCAGCAATATCAAGTTTCCTCAAAACACATAAATTATACTAATCATAGATGAACTGATAAATTAATCTTTCACCTGCGACCTTGAGGTTTTCTGGCCATAGATTACAGTTCTGAGGAAGATTTAGACCATTTCTGAGTCCCCAGGGCTGCAATTCTAGAAAGGCACCTTTGCCTGACAGTTGGCAAGGCCAGTCCGCACCTCTTCCCATGCTTCCTGGAGCCATCCTGGCACTCTAATTCTCACTATAGGTACCCTGCCTTTCCCCTTCTACGTATCTCTTTCCTGTTGCTGAAACCTTGGGCCACCAGCCCTCAAATTAATCTCATTCACTTAAAGATATTTCTCTAGGAAACTCAAGCCTCCCCACGAATCACTCTTCCTGTCCTTGTCTTGGCCAAGGTCATCTAGGCCCAAATGCAGGAAAAAGATGAGGT